GTGCTTGGTGATGAAGCAGAGGGTCAGCGCAAAAGAGCAAGTCCCTTACCAAGGGGCTGTGCGCGCCACTGGGCTCAAAAGCTTGTGAGGGTGGCCAAGGAACAAGCAGCATTTTGTTCTGTTGCACATTCGGTCACTACGAGTGGGAACCAACTTGTTGGCACCTAAAAACAATGAACCATGTTTCTGGAAGCAGTCTGCCATCTCTTTCTCCCACCACACAGCCCACAGGTCAGAACCGCACCGCCAAACCATTTTAGCAACTCCATCCCCACGCACGCCATCTCCCCACACATCGTCCTTTCTCATTCCAGTTTGCCCTAGCTGGCTTATTTTATCCTCTCAGGCCAAAGTCTCCCTCCAACATGGCCTGCAGAGAGCAGCCAGCACCCTTCTGACTGCTGTGTAGCCACCAGCATGTCCTGCAAGTCTCCACGCGCATGCTGCAAACATGCTGGATGAATCCATGAAGAGGCTGAACACAAGCTCACTTAGTGATGGCCGTGAACGGCTATCCGATGGGCTGGGGGTTGCCATGTTTTGGAGGCTGAGCCCCAGGTTCAGAGAATCTGGTTTTTAATAGACGTGAATAGTGTCTTCATGCTTTTGGAAACATTGACTTCAGTTCTGTGGCCTTGAACTTGTTCACGAATCTTACTATGTCTCTGAATTATTTTTCAGAGGCTGAGGATAATTCAAGGAAATATGGCAAATTAAGTGCTTCCTTAGCAGGAATATGGGCACTTAGGGATGTTTGTTTATGACTGGTCCTGGGAGGGAGGGAGTGTCTTCAGAACTGCGTGGCAGCAGGGCCGTCACGTATGAGCGAACAGCATGCACACTGCACAACTCCAGGGGGTGCCATTCTCTGGAATCACGTGGGGGGGGCGGCATCCTCCAGAATTGTTCGTGTCGCAGCACAGCTCCAGGAAAGAGGCCCAGTTCTTCACAATACAGCACAGAAAGAAGTTTGCGTCAGGGGCTTTGGGAAGGCACTCTGGGGATGGCGGGGGACACAGTGCACTCCAGCATTTTTTTATCCTAGGCAAATCCCCCTCCTCCCACTCAGGAGGGAGGAGAGGATGTCAAGGTCGTGCCCTCTGGAAGCTGATGGCCAGCCCTCTCTTCTGAGGCTTCTCTGGATGGGTTCAACCCCATTTGAATCACTCAGGGATTCCCGATCTCGAATGAGAGAGAAAAACGCGTGGCTCTATCCCCTCGGGGGCCTAGGTGGACTAGTGGATTGCACCTTGGGCTGCTAACCCCAAAGTCAGCAGTTCAAAGCACCAGCTGCTCTTAACCCTGGCACAGATTTCCAGTCTCAGAAACCCCACAGGGCAGTTCTGCTTTGACCTTTGGGGTCACTCTGAGTCAGAACTGCGGCCATGGCAGTGAGTTTTGGTTTTTGTGAGGGGCATCCGAGTGCCTGCCTCAAATCTCACTCCCTTTGGGGTCTGGGTAAAGGGGTGGAGCAGATAGTTTGAGAAGTCAAGGGGCTGAGACAAAAACAGGCAGTCCCGTTTTCCTGGCCCCACTGGTGCCGCCATCTGGCCCTCTCCAGGCTCAGGGGCTTGCCCACCTCCTGCAGCCCGAGAAGAGATGCTCACCTGACTTCTCTCTCACACCTCCACGAAGGACTGGGGCCACTCTGGAACACAGGAGGGGGGCGTGAAGTCTGCCTGGCAGGTAACTGTCCCCCACGACTCTGGAACACATCTGCTGGCTGGGGGGGCGGGGGGAGGTGGGAAACCAACGCGCGCGAAGGAGAGTCGGGGTCCCTCCTCCCAGGGGGCACATTCCATCAAAGGACCCCAGATTCCGCCCCAGGCCGGCGCGGGCGGCTCGCGGAATTGGCGGCG